CTGCAGTCGACTACTGGAAGGAAGCCCTCACAAACTTCAACGGGGAGGTGCCACCGCCATATGAAGCAAATGCTGCACCTTACGACAATACCCAAAACGTTTCCTTCATTTCCCTCTTCAATCCCCAAGCAAATCCGACGGTTGACTGCGCATACTTCGTCTGTCCTGCATCAACACAGAACGCCAAGGAACGGCAGGGAAACACTGATACCGAGAAGAGCATGAATGCGTTGATTTGCGTCACTTCGCCCAGCGCCTTGACAGATAGCCAAGAACCCTTTACGTAAGCCCTATCTTGCACTGCGCGCAACCGAGGTTTCAATGTCTCAGATATTTTCATTGGGCCCTGTGTATTCTGTCTGCCTCCCCTTCAATTGTTTGCTGGTTTTATTGGAGTGGGTTTACGTCTCAGGCAAGACCAGTGGGCCAAACTCACTGCGGCTTTCCAAACGAGTAGCGCCGTAGCAGCAACGCCGGTCGCGCTTGCCGTGGTAGCTGCTGCACTCGCCACCGTTCTCTTTTGAACAACGCCAGAATTGGCTGAGCCGAGTCACAGCCACCACGTGCAGCGGCAGATGAGGGGAAGCCCAAATATCTGAGCTGCCGGTTTGGTTGGGCCGGTTTTTTTTTTTCTTGGTCGTTTGTTTTGACAATGTCGTTTCATTTTGTATGAGGTCTCCTGTTGAACCAAGTCACACTGCACGCGCGGACTCCTACCATTGTGGGGCTCCCAGCATTGTTTTGGCTGAGCATGAATGCTATTGATCCAAGGCGTTTGACTTGGTTGACTGGATCTGCTTGCGTTCTAGTTAAGTCTGCAAACTCCATGGCGTTAGTGGGGCTATATAAGTCAGACCAGGGATCGCTATACGGCCACTTGAACAACTGTATTGAAACTGCGTACCAGAGATTCAATCTTACTTTATCGTTGAGTGGAGCAACTTCAGGTGGAAGTGCTGCCTCTATGCAGAAGGAAACAAACGTATGTAGCTGTATTGCCACAAGACGCCCACCGCGTCACGAATCACTTGGGTGCTAATGAACAGCTATTTAAACTAGCACAGCAACTTCGTGGGCATCAGCCAAAGGCTTGCACGCCTGTGGAGTCCCTACCAATTTCCCTGCCTGCCACCTGCGCATAATTGCACAAAACTATCAAAGAAAGAAACAAATAGAACGACGTCATAAATGTTGCACGCTAGATGAAGCTGGAAATGCCACATGTCAAAGCGACGGATCACACCTAAGCATTATTACAGCGCATAAGAGCTCATAAGTGCTCGAGAAAACACCATATTTTCCAAGATGGCCGAAGGGCAAGACGTTAAGAGAAGAAGGTGCACATAGAAACGGAAATTTCACGCGCAGGTTGCGGCGCCACACGTCTTCGTGTCACTTGACAATAAATTTGGTGTCAGCAATCACTGCTCACGCCGAAGCTGTTCTCGTCAAGGGCATAGTCAGCCAACACTAGAGCGAATTGCTTTAGAAGTAAGCACCACGGGTAGTTCAGGTCTGAATGCCATTGCGTCCAGGAACAGGAGTACAAGACGAACCCCAGACTGATGTGATGGACCCACAGAAGAGCAGTCAATGCTCTGAGTGCGGTACTGGAAAGCTCCCAGGGGTGGGCTCAATGTGCTCAGGAGCAAGCGACTAGAAACAGCGTGTGTGAATGGCTCCACGCGGGCGGCTCAATTGCAAAACAGATGTTAGTTTGTATAAACCATATTCAGCCAGCCCCGGGGTTTCGTGTTGTCGAAAAGTATAGGCGGCAAAGATGCTGACACCGCCCCTGGACCGACCGAAACAAAGACAAATTCGACGGATGCATGCGGAGGACCTCATAGGTGCACACAAAGCAATATGGAGGGAACGATATATATATGCAGAGGCCATACTATATTTCTGTGTATTTGTAGAAACCTTCAACCCTTCGAAAGAGCACGTCAATCAGTGATTCGTTTCACTGGTTTTGTCCGGCGGGGTGAGGTCCACTGTGGGGGAGCTGCGCTGCGAGGTTAGATCCTGTTAAGTCATATGCCATACACTACTTCGATCTAAAAGGATTAACTCTACGAAAATTTCATTGTTTCTCAGTGCATTTATCATTGATCTGGTTGCGGACCTGATCCGCAGTGTCCACTAGTGAGGCTATTTTGTTCGGGTGCTAGTTGAATTAGATTCCGAACACACACGCACACACACACACACACACACGTGCAGAAAAGACGTCGACCATGGATAGAATATTATGTATAGAGTATACTCGTTGCATGCGGACCAGTTTACCGACAGTTCGTCTTAGCGGGTTGACGCACAGCACCCATCAGCTGGAGCAACCCGCGTGAGGGGTGAACACGCTGGCATCTTGGCGACAGGNTTGACGCACAGCACCCATCAGCTGGAGCAACCCGCGTGAGGGGTGAACACGCTGGCATCTTGGCGACAGGAGACTACACCGCCATCACCCCGTCGTGTCCAGCGATTCGGATACCAACACCAAATCAGAGCACTGTTTCCCATATGTTCGAGTAATTTTTCCGTATTTATCTTTTGGAGGATCTATTCATAGGGGAGTTGTTGGTTCTTTCCTTTCGTTTCCAATCCTAGCAAGCTCTACGATCACTCCCGAGTTGTACGGCGCTAGGTAAGATCCTTCTTGAATATGCTAATTCCTGCCATCACAGGAACCTGAACCAACATGAACGACATAAATTATATTTAAATTTGCTGCTTTGGAGTCTCGAGGTCATTTCTTCCAGCAGACCTCGAGGCACACTGAACTCGAGGGTGATACAGAGGCAACACTGGCAACCATAAGACCGCCCCGCCTCCCCCCGAGTGTCTGCCGTCGTCGGGACAGTTCGTCACTTTAACTTCGTCCTGAATGTTTAAACGGATTCTAAGGACTTGGCGCCTCTTCATCTACTCCGGCCCTGTCGCTCCGAGAATGGCTGCACTGAAGTACCTGTTGGCGGCGCTCTCTGCCTTATTCTTATTAGGGGCCAACTGGGGGGCATATGCGGCTGACGCTGTTCCTAATAGTGCCGGTACGTCTCCCTCACGTTCTCCTAAATTTTGATTCTGACGGAAACAGGGTGCAGACTTGCAGCATGTTCCTTCGGATGTGTTGCTGCAGTACGAGTGGAGTGTTGGAACCAAATGAACGAGGCCCGAAGCCTTGTTGGCTTTGATAAACTCACGACGGAAAATAGATTTAAAATTACTGAAGAGGACTGGGCAGGTTATGGTCAGGACAACGCACTCGAGCTGTACTTGGCAGCCGTCTGCGATTCCATAAGAACTGTGAGGCTTGACACTGAAAGTTCCTTTTGTCTCCTGCGTTCATCATATACATNTGCGATTCCATAAGAACTGTGAGGCTTGACACTGAAAGTTCCTTTTGTCTCCTGCGTTCATCATATACATTTATATACATATATATATTGCTGCGGAATAGACAATGCGGGCAGAATTAGCCGCGTTTGTAGGCATTTGCACACATCTACACAGTGAAAATATTGTATGCCTCATAACTGCTTGTCCTGCGGTACTTTGCGCAGTATGAAAAGGACAGCGGCCCTGATGGCCTGATCAACGGAAACGAAGGTACATTTGCCTACGCAATTCAAGAAGGCAAAACGGCTGATTGCCAGGCTGCTGTGGACTTATGGACGGCAGCATTCCCCAACTTCAACGGGTTGCTGCCTCCGGTGTACACACTAGGCACGGCGCCTTACGACCGTACACAAAATATCTCCTTTCTTTCCCTCTTCAACCCCTACCCGAATCCTAAGGTTGATTGTGCATACTTCACGTGCGGCGCAACGCAAAACGCAAAAGGCTCAGAGAAGGAAGTGAAAACGCTTATTTGCGTTACGATTCCCCACCCCTTGACAGAAAACGAACTACCCTATACGTAAGTACCATTTTCAACTTAGCGTAATGTAAGACTCGGTGTCTCAGGTATTTCCATTGGGCTCTGTTTACTCTTTCCTCCTCCCCTTCAGTTGTTTGCTAGTTGTAGTGGAGTGGGTTTGCGTCTCAGGCAAGAACAGTGGGACAAAATCACTACGGCCTTCAAACCCAGTAGTGCCGTAGCAGCAACCCCGGCCACTCTTCTCCTTGCTGCCGCTGTACTCGCCGCCGTTGTCTTCTGAAGAACTGCTGAGCTTGCAGAACCAAGTCGCAGCGCGCACAGCCGCCACTTTGGGGTACCAGTGGCGGCGAAGGGCAAGCCCGAATTATCTGGTCCGTCGGAATAGTTGGGCTTCCCTCTAAATCTATTGCTTCGACAGCGTTGTTTCATTCTGCATACGGCCGCATATCGTGCGCCGTCGTGCTGCACGCACAGCTGTCATTTCACGGACGTAATGACGGCTGAGGATATTCGCAAGCGAATCAGGTTTCCTTATCTACTCTCTTTTTTGTTATAAGCAGCGCATGCGATTTTTAGTTTGCGTATTGAAGGAAGATGCAGGTACCGCTGCACGGCTACATAGAAGACAGCGCCCTAAGTGGGGCGTGGGAGATGCAGTTGTAAATGTGGATGTACATTAAGCGGTTCTCCACATAGTAGCGTGACTGTTGCAAAATGAGAACTGGCCAATGCTGGTCAATGCTAGAAATCAGAAAAGAACAGGTTCTATCGTGGTTTCTAAGGCATATAACCAAGCAACTAGAAACCGAACCTCCACACCCAAGCACTGGGCTTGGCCTGTGCTTTTTGGCACTTTCGCTATTGCATTCGGAAACAAGCATTAAATATGAGCGCCAAGCCGTTCTGTAGACTCACCAGAACAGCGTGCAATGTGTCAAGCATCTTTACTTTGGATCCATCAGCACGGGGGTCGTCTCAAGCGCAGGGGGTAAGCAGATATCAGGCTGGCGATTCATGCTCAGCCAGACCCCTATCTCCAAATACCTTGCTCTTTAAATGCTTACCAAACGCTAACAACAAGAGGGAAACACGTTGAGACCACCGCTGCAACTCCTATGCTGAAAACGAATGCAAGACACGCGATGCAAGCGGGGCAATCCGCACCCTGGGAACATCCGCCAAGATGAACTGAAGTCTACGAGAAGCCATACATACAAGTAGAGCGTCAAATATACGTGTGTATTTGTGTTTAATTTTTACAAGCATCTAGATTCTAAGGAAGTCTCGAAGACATGAGATCAACTTGCTATTTGCCTCGCCTGTGGTCCAGTGGGATGGGAGGATCACAGAGCAGGATCTCCGCTGCGACGCGCGCACCAGCTGGCAGGTACTAAGTTATTTCATACAGCGTTTAGAATGAAAAGTGTGAAACAAAGCGAAAGTAATACTCGGCCAGAAAGATGCCGGGAATCATACAGTGAATCGAATCAGTAACGCCCCGTAAGAGATATCAGCGCTAGCCACATGACCGCCCCGGATCCCCCGTAGGCCCTCGCCGCCTTGCAGTCATCTGCCACTCGAGACGACCGTCAATATTCAAATCGTTTCTGGCATATGTGTATCTATTCATTTTATCCAGGCGTGACGTTTCCCCGTCGGGTTTCCAGAATGGCTGTCCTGAAGTTGCTGTCTGTGGCGGCCGTCGCCATTTTCCTTTCAGACACCGATTGGGCATGCGCAACTATTAGTGAAAATGGATCTGAGAGTGATACAAATAGTAAATCTACACTGCCTGAAGATGATGGAGAAGATTTAGAGGAGGAGCAACCAGAAATCGAAGACGATGGTGGATCTCCTGACGCCACTAATAACACGGCAGGTAAGTTCCAAGGCTGTTCACTTACACTGTTTCAAAGAAAAGTAGGGCAAAAGCTTGAATACTTTTCCTTTTGTTGAGTTGCTGCAGAAAGGGTCAAGTGTTGGGAGCAAATGAACGTTGCCCGAAGCGCTGCTGGCTTCGCTGAGTTCACGCAACACAATATGTTTAAAATTGGCGAAGAAAACGGGGCTGAGCCTCAAAATGTTGCCGAGGAACTTAAGACATACCTGGCAAAAGTCTGCGAGGGCATTAAAACAGTGAGGCATGGCACGGAAATTTCTCCTGCCTCCCCGGCTAGCATACACGCTCGGATTCCACAATACCAGCGTAACCAGCCACCTATACGCACATAGGCACGCACATGCACATATCACATACACGCCCAAAAAATCCAACTGTTCATGCGTCCTCTTCTTTGTGCTGTAAACCGCCCGTTATGAACAGAACCAAAAACCTGGAGACTTGACCGCCCCAATCGAAGGTACGTTCGCCTACGCAGTTCAAGACGGGACAACTGCTGACTGCCAGGCTGCGGTGGACTACTGGAAGGACGCCTTCACCAACTTCAAGGGGGAGTTGCCTCCGGCATATGAAGCCAATACTACTCCTTATAACGACACCCAAAATGTCTCTTTTATTTCCCTCTTCAACCCCCAAGACGCTCCCAAGGTGGACTGCGCATACTTCACCTGCCCTGCATCAGCAGGAGGTGGCGAAAAGCAGAAACAAGGTACCGGCGAAGACAAGGAAATGAAGGCGCTGATTTGCGCCACGACTCCCGAAGCCTTGAAAGCTGGCGAACAGCCTTTTAAGTAAGGTCCCTTCTGTGAGCGTACTGCAGTTCTCGTTGCCCAATTTATTTTCTTTGGTTCTTGTCTACACTGTCTGTCTCTCTCTCTAGTTGTCTGCGAGTTGTAGGAGTGGGTGTGTGCGTCTCAGGCAAGAGCAGTGGAACAAAATCACTGTGGCTCTCAGTTCCGGTAGCACCGTAGGACCAGTGCCGACATTCCTTGCACTGGCTGCTGCTGCGCTCGCCGCTGTTTTCTTCTGAACAGCTCCTGAGTTGGCGGAGCCTAGTCGCAGCAAATGCAGAGCTGCCGCTTTCAGCACCTGAGAGAAGATACGGCAAAACCCTTAAAAAGCTGGGCCGTCGGCCTAGTTTGGTTGCCCTTTTTGCTTTAGTCTTTTGTTTTGACGGCGTTGTGCTTTTTTGCATAAGGCTGCCATCCATAGTTTTCTGTGATACACTCACTCTTGAACACACATGCGAGTCTTCAGCATGCAAGCGGCATGAGCACTGGTCTCAGACGAGTAACCCTGAATTCACTGGAAGGTACACGCATAGGCGTTTATGCACTAGTAGCCACTGTATAGTTGCCTGGGCATTTGTATTGTTGCCGATAGTACAACATAAACCGAACCAATACTGCGTTGCAGACACATATATTTCCATACTTACCTTCTCCGTGTGGAACAGCTTTGGGGTTCGAAAGGGGCGAAACCATAATGTAGAGAGCTGTTGACGACACAGGTCTGTGCACTTTCGCTGTACCGTGGACGAGCAGGCTGCAGGGTAGCTTCTGTGCCGCTGATTCCTCTGCACTGGATTGAGTTCAGCTACCCGAGCAACCTTTGCAGCAATTCAAAACTCGAATAACTAGAGATGGAGAGACTGAACTACCTGCACCGCCTTTGTGACGGCCCTAGAGTTCAGGATTGATTCCCCAAGCAACATAACGTTTTAAGGTACTAGAATTATGCATAAGCCGCATGCTTTGGATGCCTGTTAGTTCATGATTAGGCCCCTACTACTCTATGATCAATCGATCTACATCACGCAGCAGATGGTAAGCACCTCTGTAGATATCGGAGTGCTGGTTGTGAAGCTTCATATTCCATGAAGGGGAAACAAAATCAACGTCTTTGAACTGAAACCAGCATTTCAGTCATCTAACCTCCTACGAAACACAGGGATTAGTTCGTCTAAATTAACACAGCTACATAGTCAACACAGGTTTCTTCTTTCTGTTTTTTATGCATTTTGGAGTGCGTAGAGATCCCACAATAACGCCCTAATGTGTATCGCTGAACTGGATTAAAGTGTTTCAATGAAGGAATCACAGCAGGCACCTTAACAGCGCTGAGCACATGGGGACGGGCGCAGGCGGTGGCGTCTCCACTCTAGGAACTTCCTGCTGGAAACTGCAAACAAAATATGGATCTTTAAGTGAAACACTCCAACGCATAAAATTTATAATTGGTTGACTCCACTCATTGGCAACTGCAAGGGGAAATATCTTGCTCTCACCATTAGAATGACCAGTGGACCGGTGGGCAAACTGAATCCAAACGTCGCACTTCATCGTCAGATTCGCACTCCATTTCGAGTACAAACCGTCTCCCACGCGAAAAAACAGAATTTCAAGCTAGGACGAAAACGCTTAGATGAAGACTGGGGGCACACAGTGGCGAGCTGCAGTGCACGGCTTGGTGTTAGCTGCTGCAACCATGGGAATGCTCGAGTCGCTACCTCTGCAGTCAGCACGATCCCGACGGTTGGGATTCTTTTTCCTGCGGGACCGAAGTGGCGTTTACCTATACAAGTTGGAGAGTGGCATCTTCTTCGTTTTTTTCAAGCTTTTAATTTTGGTTTGGTGAACGAGGATGGCTTCACTCTTGCTCCAGTCGCTTGCGGCTGTCGCCGTGCTAGGTGCCACGGCGGCGCTCGGCGGGAACACGAGCAAGAACTCGGCCAGTAAGTCACCGATTAGTTCAGCCATACAGGGGTTGATAAGATGTGAAATACAAAAAATGAATGGGGAATAAATGCCTTTGTTGTGCGCACAACTACAGAAAAAATAGATTGCTCAACCCATATGAACGCGGTGCGAACACTTGCGGGTTTCAGCCCTCTGGAACTCGGAACGACAGAGCAGGAACAACTCCCCATTTTAGGCAGCGAGAGTGCCCTTGACACCGAATATGTGGAAAAAGTCTGCACTGCCATGAAAGCTGTGAGCCTTTCTCGGCACAGCGAACCCCCAAGTCTCTATTACTACCAGATGAGTTTCGGTCCTGCTGCTTAGCTATCGAGCCTCATACAAATGCGCTGTTCTGTCTATAGTAGTTTTCTTGCTCCTGTGCACTTGGCAATGCGATCAGGACAAGGCGCCTTCCGAAAAAGCAGCCACACTCACTGGTACCTACGCGTATGCGGT